AAGAAGAATATTGGGTCAATTATTTAAGGATCTGACACAGAAGTCACAAATTTAAATATCTGTGGAGGCTAGGCAGAGGGTTTTTCTAAATGCCTGAATTGGAATGAATGGCAAGGATTATGCCTTTAATGTCACAGTGAGGGCTTGAACCGCAGCAAACTGGAGGAAGGGAGCCCTCACTAAAAGGCCAGTTGTCACCCAGCTGCAGCCAGCAACTGCTGTGGTAAAATGCCAGCTAATTGTCAGATTTTTCTCATTTTTAAAGAGAAACAGAAAACAAATTTTTTTTCTGTAAAAAACTCTTTGATTTTTAAATGTTGACCATTGAAAATCCAAAGTGTCAAAAACAAAATCAAACAAAACACTGTGCAGGCTGACACTTGGCTGGTCATCCTTCAAGCTGAATTTAAATCTTGGGAATTTGGATCAGTTAGCAGCGCTCATCTACCTCCATACATATTTCTATGATGACACAACTGATGTCTCAATGAAACATTCTTCACAAATTAATACGTTGAACAGAGACAGTTCTTTTGAAGGTATTGAGGGGTTTTTTTCCTTTTTTTTCACACAGGCAGATATCATTGACAATCGGGGCCATTTTTTGGCTTCCATTTACATTTTGGATGAGTTTCCAAAAGAGGATAGGGAAAAACTACCCACTGAACTAGCTTTTCCTTTTCATTTCTTAGTCATTTTCAAATTTATCAGAAGAGTTTCAAATTGTGTCCCCTTGGAGATATATGGGCCACCACACTTCATGTCCTCTGAGTGAGGAAAGATACTCCAGGTTTATACAAAAAGGGCATATAGGCTCATGGTTCCAGGGAAGAAGGGTTCTTCTGAAGGAACCTTATGACAGGTGCCCATCATAAAACATCTGGGGAAGAAAACCCTGATCTGAATCAGCCCACTGCAAGGATGCACATTCTAAGGGCTGAAGATGGAAGTAACAATCCCTTAAGGATAACTATCTTAAAGGAGGTAAAGAATGGGCCTCTGTCCTCCCTGCTCTCCTTTGCAATGAGAAGACATGCTAGGAGGAGGGGCAAGATGGTGACGACCTAGGTGGACTTGTGAGATTCTCAGAACGGAAGTTCCCAAAAAGACTCTTACTTTTCTTCCCCCATCCCCCAGCCCACCACCAGTCGTGCTGGTCCGAGGCCCGGGGACCTTTGGTCCCACACAGGACCGAATATTGCGGCCCCCTGCTGCTGCTGTTCCACGGCATGCGTGGGAGTCTTGGGTCTCAGCTCAGCTCCATCCCTGGTTACATCATCTCTCGCCCAGCACCCAGCACCAAGCCGCCGGTCATTCAGGGAGGCTCTGGGCGCCCGCCCCTCAGAAACACTGGTCCCATTCCTGACTGAAGTACCCTGTGAGGGGCCCAGGGCCACTCTTGCCACTCACTGCCTGCCCGTTGGAGCTTTGGAGCTCTGGAGCTCCGGGCCCACCCTGGCTGAGGCACTCAGTGTGTGACCCCAAGTTTGGGGACCCAGACAAGCGGAGAGAAACGGATCTACGAAAGAGAATCTGCCACCGTCATTCTCCAGGCAGAGATTTCCATTGCCCCGCCCACCTATCAACAACCCCCACCTCGGTTCCTAAGGTAACGTTGCTAAACAGGAGACAAAGCCCCATCCCTACGCTGAATCAGATAAAAGCAACTCCCAGGCAGCCAAACCCAAACTGCGAGTAAATCTAGCTGCCTGCAATGAAAAACAAAGGGGAGAGACTGGAGATCAGAGCTGAAGTGATTTTAGTCTGATCTCTTATTGTGACTTATGATTTTATCATTTTGACTGTTTATTTTGATCACTTTTGTTGTTTGCCTTCTGACTTACACTGTCTCATGATTATATTGGTCTGTCGCTGTGTAGCTATCAGTATTCCTTAGGAAATCTTTCTTACTTGTCTCTTTTCACTTCTTCCCGGCCTTGTGTCTCTTTCTCACCTGATAGCTGGTATGTATGTCTGTTTTCCCTCTCACTCTTCTCTCTCTCTAACTTCCTATTGACCCCCCTTCCTCCATTATTTTTCTCTTTTATACCCCCATTTCAATCTAGGGACCAAGACTACAAACTGCTACATGAACAGATTGTAAGGCAGAGGGAAATAGGTTCCAGAGTTCTCATACACCTGTTCGTGGATGCTAGAAACAGCATATACAAACTGAACCACAGCTTCCCCCTCAATTAAACCTCAAAACTGGAAAAAAAAGTACACTCTGAAGCCCACACTCCAAACTCAAAAGTGAACAAAGCCAGAAGATCCTTGTAAGGAAGAACAGGATATTCCAGAAGTGAAACAAAAGCATCCCCACCTTCCCTCAAAAACAGAATTAAAGAAGGGGAGGAAAAGGGGGAGAGGGAGAAAAATCTACACAAATGAAGAAAAACCAAAGAAGAGTATGGGTCTCTCCCAGACACTGAGAAAACTGACTTCAGAATGCAAACAATGAAGAGCCCCCAGAATGAAAGGTCTCAAATCGCAAACCTAGATATCAAGACATTAATGGAAAGGTTAAAAAGAATTGAGGAGACACAAGAAGAAACTAGGAAGGAGCTGATATCTGAGATAACGGTAATAAAGAATACTGTGAATGAAATAAATAACAAACTGATAAGCATGGAAAGCAAAATTACTCAAGCAGAAGAAAGAATCTCAGAACTTGAGGACCAAAATATAGAACTAACCCAAACTCTTAAAAACACAGAAAATAAGCTCAAAAAGACAGAAAAAAACCTTCAAGAGATGAGCGATTACTTCAAGAGACCGAACCTAAGAGTAATTGGCCTTCCTGAGGCAGAAAGAGAGACAGAGACCACACTGGAACAAACTTTCCATGAGATCATTCAAGAAAACCCTTATCTAATCAATGATGCAAAAATTCAAACACAAGAGATTCAGAGAACCCCTGCAAGACAACAAATGAGACCAACTCCTAGACACATAATAATTCGCCTAAACAAAGTAGGCATAAAAGAAAAAATCCTAAAGGCAGCAAGAGAAAAAGGCCAGATCACCTACCATGGAAGACCAATCAGAATAGCCTCAGATTTATCTACAGAAACCCTGCAGGCTAGGAGAGCTTGGAGTCCTATCTTCAAAGTCCTAAAAGATAAACAATTTCAACCAAGAATAACCTACCCGGCCAAGCTAAGCTTCATCAGCGAGGGAGAATTAAAATCTTTCCCAGATATCCAATCTCTAAGAACTTATGCTGCCACCAAACCACCTCTATATGAAATACTTAAGAAAATACTAAACACAGAAGAAAAGGAAAAAAGAACAATGTTCTTCACAAGAGTATAGGAAAAAGAATAAAATATACATGAACCAACCCCCAAACCAAAAGAAAGACAAAAAAACCAAGTGGAAGAACAACAACTCTATAAGAACTCTATGATAGGGATGAACTCTCACATTTCAATAATTAGCCTGAATGTGAATGAACTAAACACACCACTGAAAAGACATAGAATGGCAAAATGGATAAAATATCACCAGGCAACAATATACTGCCTTCAAGAGACCCATCTCACTAGAAAGGACATATATAGACTCAAAGTAAGAGGATGGGAAACAAATTTTCAGGCGAATGGAACACAAAAGAAAGGAGGAGTTGTGATCCTAATTTCAGACAAAATACCATTTAAGCCATCAAAAATTAAAAAAGATACAGAGGGCCAATACATAATGATAAAAGGTTCATTCCATCAGCAAGAAATATCTATCCTAAACATATATGCACCCAACATAGGTGCGCCAACTTTCATAAAGCAACTTCTAGGAAAACTAAAGAAAGATATTGACTCTAACACCATCATAACTGGGAACTTTAATACCCCACTCACAACCCTAGACAGACCATCAGGACAAAAAAATCAGCAAGGAGATCCAGAACCTCAATGTGACTCTGGACCAAATGGACTTAATTGATACCTACAGAACATTCCATCCAAAGACCACAGAATACACATTCTACTCAG